GTATTGGAATCGGGGAGCAGCTGTGCCTCTGCGGTGGAGGGTGGACAGACACAGTGGAGTTTGGAAAAAAAAGCCAAGTGTTAAGTCTGAGCTACATACAGTTCGCGTCTCTTGAGCGCCTTAGTCTGCAAGAAGGGGACTGAACGGGGTCACTTCAGTGACCCCAGAAATGTTAGGAAGTCGGTAAATTTTACTGAATGTGTTCGACGCATCCACTTCGGTATTAGGCATTTTTGAGAGCTACAAAAAAAAAAAAAGCAAAAACAGGCATTTTTTTTTTATTCTCCTCCCCCACCCCCCGCTGGCCGATATCTTAATCCAGTTGGGGAGACTTGGATTCGGGAATGACTCACCTTGAGTACTGGTATGGACAGATGTTGAACTTCTCGGCACCTTTTTTTCCTTCCTGTGTCAAATCTATAATGGGCACACCACTGCTTTTTTTTTTTTTTTTCCTAAGAGGATGTATACAGGCCCAGCATTCCTACAGAAAAATCAGAAAATAATACAAGGTAGTTTATACTAAACTTCTACCCACCAGCACACACAGACCAGGCCTCTCACCACTCCATGGGAGCCTGCGTGGCAGCAGCCTGGAACCCAGAGCCTTTCCTGGAGCCGGCACGATCCGGACGGAAGCCGATGCCGCACAGAGCGCCTGAGGTGCGACCCAGCCAGGACGCAGCTGCCTTTTGAGAGGCCCGCATGCCTCCGCGTCCCCCCGGGGACCGCCGGGACTCATTCTCTTGGCAGACTTGTGGCCAGCCAAAACTGCCATGCTCCACATCCCCGTTATCCTGGGTTACCGCCCGAGATGTAAGCCCCTTCGGTCTCCTCCGCGCCTCCGCCCCGCCCCGCCCCCGTGCTGCTTGGTGCTTCCCCTCCCGTGGTTTAGACTGTCACTGCTGCTCTCTCCTTTTTATTTCTGCATTTCACCTCTCAACACAGCTGAGCTCTGAAACCTCTATTCCCTGCTTAACCAACTCTTTTTTACATAGTCAGTCACTTTATGGAAACTCTACTTCATCTCTTGACTTTAACTCACACTTGGCTTTTCCCGTCCAGCCCTTTCAATTGAGCTTTACTCTGACACTTGCTTTTGAGGTTGGGTGATGGCTGTAGCCACGTTGAACTGACGTAACTCTCTCAAATACTTTTCTTCTCTCGCTCTCTCGGGCATTTTGTTTTACCCTGATCTCTTTCTGGATAATTTCTGTGACTGCTACAGATCACTTTCTCTGAGGGGTGTTCCCTGACTTCCCAAGGACAGAGCTAGATACCCTAGCCATGAGTTAAGTGCCCTTTACTGCCCTTAGCATTGCCCTTATCTCATGTATCCTAATTGCTTGTCTCTCTACCTTTCCCACTAAGGTAGGTTGTGGGGGAGAGGCTGTATTTTTGTAACTCTAGTGCTTGATAGACAGTCAGATATTTCTGGAATGATTGCAATGCTCCAGGTACAGTCCCGTAAGTCAGGCAGTGGACTGTTATTTCCAGACTTTACATCTAAGAGCCATTCAAAGAGGGTCATCTGCTACTCAGGTACAGCTCATTGTGACTGTGTGATCCCAGTGTTGCCATAGCATCCAGTTTTTTCAAGGAAAGTTGGAAATGCAGTTGTTTTTTAAAGTGATATCTCCCATTTTTAAGTTTTGTCAATGGGATAAAATTTTATTAAAAAAATACACACCACAACACAAAACTTGGGCCTATCAGTCACATGTGGCCTATTAGTCAACAGTTTGGATTCTGTTTTAAGTGTTGTTGGGTGTAGAAGTGGGCATTGTGGAGACTAATAGATTTTGCACTGATCTTTTGATGGATAGTTGCAAGTTGAATGAGAGAATGGAAAGAGATATTCCAGTTTGGGAACTATGTCAAACAACTCCAGGTTAGTGTGTGTTTTCCTGTGGCAGAGCGATGAGGCTGGCATTAATCCTTTTGGAGAGAACAGGAGGTTAAGTGAAATGGTAGAGGGAGCATATGGAGGGCAGAGAATAAGAAACTATTTGGATTCTTGATGAGGGAAACTTCAGATATGAATGAGGTATTAGCAAAGTGAATTGATTGTCTTTTCTTAAGGGTGAAATGGAGAGTAAAAGACTGGAAAGAGGCTGGCCAATTAGGACTCTAACTTCCATGTAGATAATGAAATAAGATTTAGATTTGTAAATACTATGTATAAGCAAACATCTGGTATTTTGTCTAACATGTAATTTTAGTTATTTGATAACTACAATGGACAATCAAGAATCTCCTAAGTTTTTAAGATAGTATGGTGGGTCTTATAAAAGAAGTATCCTTAAAGCAGTGGTTCTCAACCTTCTGGCCCTTTAAATACAGTTCCTCATGTTGTGACCCAACCATAAAATTATTTTCGTTGCTACTTCATAACTGTAATGTTGCAAATTGTAATGTAAATATCTGATATGCAGGATGGTCTTAGGCAACCCCTGTGAAAGGGTCGTTCGATGTCAAATCATAAAGTGAACGAGTGAGACACATGATGCTGGGCTGATGTTGTGGCATTCACTGTGACGTTCGCTGCGCCAACTAGGGGTGGGGTATCTGAAGCTGGCTCGTAACCCGAATTTTAGCTCGCAACTCAAAGCAAAAAGTTGGCCGAGAGATGGCTCGTATCTCGAAAAACTCGTTAGTCGGGACACTCGTAAGTCAAGGCCCCACTGTAACTTGTGAAACTAGTAGAGATTGCAGTACTTTCACAGTTCTAAGTCACATGGTTCATTATGAAGCAGTCAGTGGTCTCCTTTTCTCTAACACCATGTCTCCCTCACTCCCCCTTCCCTCATTCCCCCCCACCTCAGGGGTTCATGCTAGGGCTTCTATTGGCAACAGGCAGTTTAGAAAACTGGGTATTTATTTGGATTTACAGTCATTGGCAAAGCTCAGTCCCCTTGGAGGCGGCTGGAGGAGTGGCCTCCTGGAGCCTGCTAACCTCTCTCTCTTAATCCATCTTGTTTACTGGCAGGATAATCTTCTGGAATGCCATTTTGCCCCCAACTTCATTTTCAGGCTTATAAGCCTTCAGTGAACTCCTCTAATTTTTTAGTATGTTGTGCCATTTAATGCCCTTGAATTTGTTCTCTCTCTCCTTCCCTGTTTTATTGTGAAGCAGTGTAATATGATGGATAGGGTGTGGGCTTCAAAGTCATACAGGCCTGAGTCTGATTCCAGGCTCCATTTGGCTCTGGAATTTGAGCTTTTCACAGCCTCCATGTTTTATCTGGAATGGGAGGAATAATACCCATTTCAGGGGAGGAAATGAAAGCTTGTTGAATGCCAATCAGGGCTGTTTCCTACTCCTTTGCAATGTGCATCTTCTGTTTTTGTCAGTTGCAGCTTTCTTATGTACATGTTGTTTTCCCTAATTCCTTTCCCTTTTCTTAGCTTCTGTTATTTTCTGCATTTTTCTTTCTCTGAACCCTAAACAATGATTAATTCTTGTAGATACTTTGTTATATTTTGATCATTTTAATTGGCATCAATGTTAGTTTTTTTCCCGAACTTTAAATAAGTATGCTCTAAAATTAATTTGTAATTTAGTTGTCTGGAATTTTAAACATTTTCAGTTGAAATAGTATTGGGTAGTTTTTAGTTTAAGACAGCTCTTAAAAACTTCTTGATTCAATTTAGTATGTGAGGAATATGTTTACCTTCTTTTAGATCAGTACATCTACTCCTGAGATAAGATTTTAAAAAAGTGTCGGTCCCAGCCAGGCCAGTTATATAGGGATTTCAGAGAATAGGGCCTAGACCAGTGAAGGCGAACCTTTTGAGCTCGGCGTGTCAGCATTTTGGAAAAACCTAACTTAACTCTGGTGCTGTGTCACATATAGAAATTTTTTGATATTTGCAACCATAGTAAAACAAGTATTTATATTTTTGATATTTATTTTATATATTTAAATGCCATTTAACAAAGAAAAATCAACCAAAAAAATGAGTTCACGTGTCACCTCGAACATGCGTGTCATAGGCTCGCCATCACTGACCTAGACACTGGTATTTCTTTAAGGCTCTTTAGATAGTAATAATATGTAGCCAAGGTTCAGAATCCCTGCTTTTGGTGCTAGACCTAAAGGATTCTCATCAATACCTTTTGTTTAAAAATGAAATGGCACGGGTGTCATGGAAAGTGTGAAAGGAACCATAATCTAATAGTGCTCATTGGAAGTTTTCTGGATAATTAAAAGATACAAAGTAATATTAATGTTTTCCAGAATGGCTCATGTGGTGGTCATCAATATTATGTTTATTTATTTGGCCAGTATTTAATAAGTACTTCTGCTAAGTAAGAGAGGTGCACAGTCATTTACTTTGCAGTGATATTTAGTTTCGGAAAGAGAAGAGGAGGAAAAGTAAATTGAAAATAATTTGATATAATAGTATTATAGATAGGTGCTTTAAAAGGCCCAAAGAAGGAACAACTTTATTCTTTGTAAAGAGTATAAGAAACACAATAAAATGAACGGGACACAGCAAAAGCAGTCCTAAGAGGGAAATTTATATCATTATAGGCCTACCTCAAGAAACAAACAAAAAAACAAACTCAAATAAGCAATCCAACTTTACACTTCAAGGAACTAGAAAGAGAACAACAAACAAAGCCCAAAGTGAGTAGGAGAAAGAATATAAAGATCAGAGCAGAAATAAACAAAATAGAGTCTAAAAAACAATACAAAAGATTAATGAAACCAAAAGCTGGTTCTTTGAAAAGACAAGACTGACAAACCTTAACCAGACCTCATCAAGAAAAAAGGAGAGAGGACCCAATTAAATAAAATCAGAAACGAAAGAGAAGTAACAGCTGACACCAAAGAAATACAAATGATTATAAGAAAATATAAACTATGGACAATATGGATGGAATGGATAAATTCCTAGAACATACAATCTTCCAAAACTCAATCAGGAAGAATCAGAAAATATGAATAGAAAGATTATAACTAATGAAATGGAAATAGTAATCAGAACATTCCCAACAAGCAAAAGTTCTGGCTTCCCAGGTGAATTTTATTAAGTATTCAAGAAGAACTAACATCTGTCCTTCTTAAGCTATTAGAAAAAAATTCAAGAGGAGAGAAGCTCATTTTATGAGGCCAGCATTATCCTAATTCCAAACCAGATAAAGACACTACAAAGAAAGAAAATTATAGGCCAATATCTCTGATGAACATAGATGCTAAAATCTCAATAAAATATTAGCAAACTGGATCCAGGAATATATTAAAAAGATCATATATCATGATCAAGTGGGTTTTATTCTGGTGTTGCAAGGTTGGTTCAATATCTGCAAATTGGTTAACGTGACACACCACATAAAATCAAGGAGAAAAACCACATGATCATATCAATAATCTAGAAAAAGATTTGATAAAATCTGGCACTCTTTTATGATAAAATCTCTCAGCAAAGTGGGAATAAAGGGAACATACCTCAATGTAATAAAGGCCGTATATGACAAACCTCAGCCAACATAATTCTCAATGGGCAAAAACTACACAAGTGTTTCCCTAAAGATCAGTAACAAGACAGATGTCTATTTCACCACTTTTTTTTTTTTTAACAGAATGAGACTTGTTTTTATTACTCAAAAAAGCTTCATTTTTTAACTTATTTAGCTTTCTGACTCTGTGCTTGTGCCTTCAACACTTTCACAACGATTTTCTGCTCCTCAATAAGGAAAGCACGCTTGATCCTGTCCCGGACACATTTAGCACACATGGATCCACCGTAGGCTCTGCTGACGTGTTTTCTCGTCTTAGACAACCTCATTAGAACTTTAGGTTTCACAGCACGAACTCCGCGAAGTCGGCCTGGGCACACGCCACATGCAGATTTGGGTGCTTTCCCAACCTTCTTGGTATGAAGGTAAACAATCCTATTACCAGGGGTTCGGGACAGCCTGGTTTTGTTGGAGGCTGTGTTGTAGGACAGCCTCCGACGGTATGTCAAACGCTGGACTATGGTGAATACCTAAACACAAGTCACCATCCTCAGAAGAGGAAAAGGAAAGCGCTTGCCTATTTCACCACTCTTATTCAATGTAGTATTGAAAGTCCTACCTATAGCAGTCAGACAAGAAGAGATAAGAGGCATCCAAATTGGAAAGGAAGAAGTAAAACTGTCATTATTTGCAGATGACATGATATTGTATATAGAGAACCCTAAAGATTCCAACAAAACTACTAGAACTGATAAATGAATTCAATAAAGTAGCAGGATACAAATGTATCTGGAAGTCAGATGCATTTTTATACACCAATAATGAACTGTTGGAAAAGGAAACTATCTTCACTTACAATTGCATAAAAAACAACCGAGAAATAAATTTAACCAAAGATGCAAAAGACCTGTACTCAGAAAATTATAAAGTACTAGTGGCCCAGTGCACGGATTTGTGCACATTGAAAGGAAATTAATTAGAAGAAAGATTTGTGCGGTAATTACGTTACTGCAAAACATTACATGTCAAAATAGTATATATAAAACTAGAGGCCCAGTGCACGAAATTTGTGCATGGGTAGGGTCGCTAGGCTTGGCCGGTGATCAGGGCTGATCAGGGCCTTCTGGCTGCCAGCAAGGGCCTTCCTTCCTCAGCTGCCGGCTGGGGTCTTCCTTCATTCTGCGCTGCCCCCTGGTGGTCAGTGCATTATCATAGCGAGCGTTCAAACTACCGGTTGAACTCCCGAGGGGACACTTTGCACATTTAGCCTTTTATATATATAGATCCTATCTAATAGCTAATAAAAGAGAAACATGGTAATTAGCGTACGACCGCTACCCTTCCCATTGGCTAATCGGGGCGATATGCAAATTAACTGCCAGCCAAGATGGCGGCCAGCAACCAGGCAGCTTGAAACTAACATGAGGCTTGCTTGCTTCAGCGATGGAGGAAACCAACGTTCCCTGCCGGCCTCTGAGCCTGCAGTTTGAAACATTGTAACAAATATAGAAGCTAAACAAACCCCCAGAAACCTGCTTTCAGCGAGCTGG